TGTGTGTGTGTGTGTGTGTGTGTGTGTGTGTGTGTGTGTGACTTTATACTGTGAACACAGAAGTCAACACAAATCTGGTTAGAATGTTTTCGTTCATTTGTTTAATTTGGCAAATACTTTAATCCTTAAAGGCAGACTAAAATGTTACATTCTCCAAGTAGGCTACTTTAAGTAGACTAAATGGCTTTCTCAGACTCTGATGCATGCTTCAAAGGCACCTTTACTACCTAGACATTTGTATTCATAAAAAGCAAAGGAAAGTAACAGGAGCAGAAGAACCATTCAAAATGACTCTGTTTGAGTACTTAGACGGCAAATGTGACTAATAAGGAAAGGTTCCCAGCCCAGAAAATAGGAAAATGAAAGGAAAGATATTTCTTGTTCTTCAGGTATTTTTTTCTCCATATGATTTTTTATTTAGATAACATTTGCATATGACACAATTTACCTATCCTGAAAGGTCAGTTTGAACAGCAATGTTGGCAGTTCAAATTCCAGAACTTTTTTCATCACACCTCTCCCTCTTCCCCCACCACTCCCCCCGCCCCCAAATCACATAGTTTAAGTCATGTTCCCTCTTTTTCCTAGTCCTTGGCAACCTCAAATATACTTTCCTCTTCTATGGAACTGTTTAGGCAGTATTTTTGCACTGTGAATTCATCAAAGTACGGCCAAGTATGTCCCTTAGCAAAAGCTCATCTAGAGTTCTTGGAAGCTGTAAAGGCCCAATGCCAAGCACACCATCTGGCTTAAAGGTATGAAGCCACTTAAAAGATGGGCAGAAAAACTGTGTCCTGCTCCGCTGAGCATCTTGGCCACCTTTGTCGAGCATTTGGATCAGGACATCCATAATCTCTCAGGAGGTATACTGTCATGGAATCTCATTGTTCTGCCGGTTTTCTTCTCTCCCCTCAAAGTCTCTGCCCTGAACCAACAGCAATTTCTATGGGCTCCACAAAGGGAAATTTCTATCGTTCAGTCCCTATGCCTGCTAGGCACCCTCACTTGTTTCACTAGTACCTCACTCAGTATCAGTTCCAACTCTATCTTCCTCACCTGTAATTCTGCTACTGCCCATCAGCTAGGTTTGAAGCCTCAGTGCTAAGTCATCTCTCTAATAGCATTCATTTGCCAGGCTCATCTGTTTTGTCCCCCTGCTAATGCCATATTGTGGATCTTCCTTTCCTGAACCTTTGAAATAGACCCCTAACTGATGTTTCTTCCATCAATCTTTTCGTGCTTTTGCACACTTCACTCATTATACATGTGGCCTGATTGATTTGCCTTCAAAGCTGCTCTTGCTACTGGTTATAACCCTTTAATAGTTCCCTATTACTGACAGATCAAATCAAATCCAGTCTTCCATTCAAGGCCTTTTACAATTTGACTCCTCGGCTCTAATCTGAGGTCATCCCATGGCTCCCCTTCAGGCACCACCCTGCGTTCCTGTATGTACTCAACTCTTTGAGAAATTCTGGTGATACAGTGGTTAAGCACTCGCCTGCCAACAGAAAAATTGTAGCAGGTTATTTTCTCCAGCCACTCCACAGGAGAAAGATCAGGCAGTCTGCTTCCGTAAAGATTATAGTCTTAGAAGCCCTATGGGGCAGTTCTACGATGTCCTATAGGGTCACTATGAGTTGGAATTGACTCAAAGGCAATGGATTTGGTGGGTACACACCCTTCAAAACTCTGTGTGCTCAAGTGGTTCCTTCATCCTGGAATCCCCTACATTCCTGTCTTTATTGCATTATCAAACTCTGCACTTAGATAGCACTGAGGGTAAGCACTGGACTGCTAACTGCAAGGCTGTCAGTTCAAACCCACCAGCTGCTCCTTGGAAGCCCTAGACAGAGTCGATATAATAGCACTCAACACCAACACCACCACCACCACCCCACCTTTTAAGGTCTACCTCAAATACAACCTCCTCCTGGAAGCCTTCCCAAATTCCGAGCCATTCTTCCCTTCACCAGTTGAATGAACAACTTGCACTTGTCTGAATTCACCTAGCACCACTTGCAACTACCACTTTCTACCTAACCCCAGAGCTCACCCTAACTGTGTAACTCCCAATACCCTAGCCTGTGTTACAGTTATTTATGTAGGGCTCATTTCCCCTCTCACGTCACAGACAGACTCACCTCACGAGATCTGTGTCACCTTTGCCTCTGTACCCACAGTGCCTACTATAATGTCTTGCACATAATAGATATGTAGAAAGCTTTGCTGAGTGAATGAACCAATTCCAGGTTGGTCCCAGCGAGACTGGATCCAAATCCCAGGGAACACTTATGTTTACATACTGGGCCTGACACAGCATGTTCACAGGGCTGTCTATGCTCTCCTATGGATGCTTCCCTCATCGGTCAGTCTAAAGTAGGGGTGGGCAACGTCCAGCTTGCTAAATCATTTGGTCTGGCCCTGTCAAGACAACTGCAGTTCCAGCCATCACATTGATTGTGATTGTGAAGTGCCGTCGAGTCGATTCCGACCCATAGCGACCCTGTACAGGGTTTCCAAGGGTGTAAATCTTTACGGGAGTAGAAAGCCTCATCTTTCTCCCGCAGAGTGGCTGGTAGTTTCGAACTGCTGACCTTAAGGTTCACAGCCCGATTCATAACCACTACGCTACCAGATTAGGGGTGAGTTAATTAAACATGTGAACAAATATAGCAGACTAAGTTTTAAGTTGATCATTTTGTACGGGCCACAAATATGTTATAAATTTTGGCAGAAAAAAGGCTCCCCACCAGTGAAAGTCCTGGTGTGGCGCTGTGGGTTAATGTGCCAGACTGCAAAGCTGTTTGAACTGGAAAGTCAGCAGTTCAAGCTCACTAGCTGCTCCTTGAAAAGCCTATACAGGGTTGCTATGGGTATGAACCGAATCGATGGCACTTAACAACAATGACAACCACCACCACTGAAAACGTTGCTAAATGGGACAGCAACTGTGATCTACTAAAGTTATTCAAGTTGGTTAAATCTGTTCTTTTCTAATTAGAACCAAGCAGCTTCCATTCTCCCTCAGGTTCACTAATGTTCCTGACTCTGGGCTCACTTCTCCTTTCCTCAGTGAGCAAAACGAAAAATTTTGGTTACTCAGCTATTCGACATAAAAAGCAGTAACAAAAGAGCTACATTGCAAATGTTTCTCTCTGAGAATGGTCATAGTACTTCATGTTCTTTATATTAGTATCCATAAACTACTCAGCACACTGGCAAACATCTCGACAGTGATATTTGGGGGAAATGATTATAAAGTGAATGCATAATTCATCTTTTAGCAATGAACTTGCTAACTCAAAGCTGTCCTTTCTGGTGAGGAGAAGTGATCTGTAGCTTTGATGCAGAGTGTAGATCCTAGACATTCTATTGCACATAACTGGAAAGAGAGAAAGAAAGACATTTAAAGGGCACACATACCTGGAGTTTCAACCATGTCCTGCTTTTTGGTTGTTCCCTTTGTGTTAATTTCACAACTTACATGATAAAAAGTAAAAAGCAAATGATGCTTCTGATGAAGGTGAATGGGAAGCTCAATCTTAACCTGAAATGATAGCAAAATTACCCAGAGAATATACTTGTCTCTTCAACTGGACTGTCAAGACATTTTGTTCAGTTTCATGGTACTTTAAAAAAACAACAAAAAAAACTTCCAAAATGGTAGGCCCAAGCAGTCAAATAATAGATACCAATTAAATATATTCTAAATGCTTCTCTGGTCAGTTTCAATTTGACGACAATCCTTTCTTGGGCTGTGAGGGATGATTAATCACTTTTGGCTGGAGAGTCTAATGGATTCTACTAGGCTCAACACTGCAGTATGAGTTTCTAGAACATTATACCCAAACCATCTCCTCACAGCCCAGAGGTCAACGAATGCCAACTGGTGTTTAAAAATGCACTGGCTTTGAATGGTTACTTTATTCTGAGTCATTGTTCCCTTTCTGCAGGAAGAAAAGGGAAACCTTCAGAAATAAATGTGTCACTATGTAAAAATGTCACTATGGTGTTATGGTATCCACAAATAACAGTTCATATAAATTTTTCTAGAAGAGAAAAAGGATTTACTCTTGCATAAAGAGAAAAAAATTGTCACCCATGAGATATGAACTTAATCCTAAAAATCAATGTTTGTATTAAAATATCCTAAGTAATTTTCCCATCAGAACTCCAGTGAATGTTTAGAACACCTATAAAGTATGTAAAAGACCAATCACAGATACTGATTGTAATGTACATGCGTGTACAAACACAGGTACATGCAAACACATGCATACACACACTCTCTCTTCTGGTCAATATACAGTGAAGGATCAAAAAGCCTGGTCCTGAATGCAGTGGTTGGAGTGAATGAATCGAGGTAATTGTTGCTAACTGATGGTACACGGAGGGGACTGCAGCCATATAATGAAGCAAAATACATGATTTGTTGAATGTGAAACTGATGATCTGCTCTGTAAACCTTCACTCAATTCACAATTAAAAAGATTGTTTTTAAAAAAAAAAAAAAAAAGCCTGGTCCTATAATCTTAGGGAAGTCTAGGTGTGGCGCTGTGGGTTAATGTGCCAGACTGCAGAGCTGTTTGAACTGCAAAGTCAGCAGTTCAAGCTCACCAGCTGCTCCTCAGATACCCTATACAGGGTCGCTATGGGTCGGAACTGACTAGGGGGCACTTAACAACAACATAATCTTAGGGGACACCACGGTTAACTGGCAAAACATAGTCCACAAAGGTAATGTTCTACATCCTACTTCTGTGAGCAGAGTGGGGTCTTAAAAGCATGAGCAGAGTGAAGAGCTCCGCCAGCAACAACACAGAATACCAGAGCAAGCAGGCTCAGGGGATGGTCCCAGAACTCTGAACCACATATAAAGGAATATTTATAAGGTTAGAAGGCTTACAGCTGGGGGAATTTATGGCAGAAGCAAGAAATCCATTGCTTTCTAGTTTGCAACGCTCAGCTGCTCCAGGAGTTGCCATCTTGAATGAGACCAAGCCGGGGGTGGGGGGTGGGGTGGGGAGAAGGATCAGAGCTGGCACAGATGCCTGGCAGAACCAGAGAGATAAAATAGGCAAACATTAAATCCTAAGTTATGTCAAAATGACCAACAGTGGCATCTTGAAATTTCTCAAGAAGAAGAGTGAAAAGGGAAGCCCATTTCCTGATCACATCTACATGGAGGCAATCAGAAAGCATAAAAAATTCCAAAATACAGACCCATGTAAGTATTAAGGCCGCAGATTACCCCTGAATATGCCCCAAAACAGAAGCAGATGACCATATCTGCACATGTTCAGAAACGAGATAAAGTGACTGACGCAAATGAGCTGGAAGTAGACCTACACTCCATACTAGAAGATGGGCAGGCTTTGGAAATGCCTGAGAAGGAATTCCTAAAAATGATTATAAAAGGTATCAAAACACTATACA